TCGACTCACTCTCCTCACTGGATAAATGAAATCTGATCTGTGATGCGACTGTCGTTCGGTACGCTGCATTGAGCAGCCGCGTTCAGTTTTTAATTGTAGTGTCTGTTCTTTTACTGAACTAAATTATTTTTATTACTATAAAAAATTAAAACGACGGTGAGGGTGGGCAAGTGACATAACCGGTGTCAGCACCGTCTATCGCGGCAAGCCTATTATGATGTATAGTCCCTTGTGTTTTGTGGGGAGGCTTTCACCACATCGTAACGCTTCAGGTTTGGAGTTGACTCACGTTGTCCTGTGAACACAGGCTGGTTTTGTCCATGATCTTCATGGCGTACACGTCTCCTGTCGCTCTCTCCTTCACCACCTGCACTTCGGAGAAGTGCCCCCTTCCCACAATGCCCCTCACCTCGAAATCCTTCTTACCAGGAAGCAGATCCTGAACTTCAGCCACCACTTCAGAATCTGAGACACACAAACGGTCACAATACAAACACAGACTATGACTGATTCCGTGTTAAGATCATATTAAGGCGCTTACATTTGTTGACAAAGTTGGCCACATGTTCGATCTTCATGAGCTCTGGTGTGGCGCACTCTTGATAGAGCAGCAGAAAAGCATCAATCAGAGTTTCTCTGGTCACTCCATTCACTCCTGTAGAGCCCGACACACTGCATTTCCCCTGAAAAATTACAAACATTCACTTCACAACACAATATTTATATGGAAACAGCGCCCATATATTCTCACAAAATATGATGCATTTCATAGCATTTTTGCTTTCACCACTATTTGTAAGGTGAAGTCTTGTATTCTCCCTTAATAATCAGCAGAAAAACACTACAAAGACGTGACTCCTGTCTGAATTTGAGCCAGATTACAACTATTTGTTCAACTCTCAGGCCTTTTTCACTTTCATGAATGATTCTGAAGACGTTATTTATAGGGATGTAACGATTAACCGCGAGCCGGTTGAAAACCGATTAAAATATGTGACTATTCAAATCGGTTGAGATGCTAAAAAAATTGCGATTCATTTAGGGATAGGAGTTTATATGAATGTATGTCTGAGGGGAACTTACTGTCTTTAGAAAAGTTTAGATGGTATTTTTTCTTTTCATCTTGCCTCTGTATAATGCATATTAAAGTTCATAACAAAATTATTGATTTTTCTTTTATGCCAAAAATCATTAGGATATTAAGTAAAGATCATGCTCCATGAAGATATTTTGTAAATTTCCTACTGTAAATATATCAAAACTTAATTTTTGATTAGTAATATGCATTGCTAAGAACTTCATTCGGACAACTTTAAAGATGATTTTCTCAATATTCTGATTTTTTTTGCACACTCAGATTCCAGATTTTCAAATAGTTGAATCAAATAGAAATTAGTGTCCTTCTAACTGTGACTATATCTATCTGCTAATGTTATAATGCACGCTAGCATATCGATGATCTCACGCCTCAGACGATGAGAGCTCACCTGCAGCAGCTGATTGAGTCGAGCGCAGCAGCTGGTGATGGAGTCGACAGCAGACAGATCTTTAACGCTGCCGTGGCCTCCGTATTTAAACTTCAGCATCACTGCAGGACAAACATGAGCAATACAGTCAAATCAACCTGCATGACAGGCGACGTCTCTGATGTCCACTACACAATGACCGTGTTCCAATCCTAGTCAGCTGCCTATCTAGACACCAATTAGGGGAATATGCCTATGATGCCCGAAAGATGTTATCGAAGTAGGCAGTTCATCAGGATTTGATACACAGTGCTGCAATGTCTTAAAGTGTTAAAACAATTTCAGACCCAAATATTAGTATAAAAACAAGCTTCAATGAAACTAAAAGCTTAATTATATACACACAGCATATCTTTATCCTCCTGGGACCCAGGCATAGACTTCTGTCCTCTGCAGAGGACATTATATTTTAGTGAATTTCTCTGGATGTCCTGTTCGGAGCACATTCGTGGCTTTTTCGGAGGTTTGATTATAATCACTCCCTCTCCTTGGTCTTTAAATATGACTGATATTGACAGAATGATCAGATTTAGCACTCTCAGGGAAATTTGATAGTGTTTTGTAATTATCATTTAAATCTGACTAATAAAACAGAGAGTTCCGGTGCTTGATTCTGATTGGTTGAGCCGCGTTCGAAGCTGTTGTAAATTACTCTACAAACATACACCTTTGTTTACTTCTGTGTGTTGCTCGGCAACCACTTTGTTGCAACCACAACTGTTTCTGAGGA